TGCAGCCAGTGGCACAGGGAACATCTCACGACTAGAAGGAAAAATGGATTCAATAAAATTTCAGCAAATTTTGGATGGTAACTTGATGCCATCTGTGAAAAAACCTGAAGTTAAAGAGAGAATGGCTTCTACAAATGGATAATGATCCTAAACATACCTCAAAATCCATGGGGGATTACATCAAGAGGCGTAAACTGAAGGTTTTGCCATGGCCTTCACAATCTCCTGACCTCAACATAATTGAAAATCTATGGATAGACCTTAAAAGAGCAGTGCGTGACAGACAGCCCAGAAATCTCAAAGAACTGGAAGACTTTTGTAAGGAAGAATGGGCAAAGATACCTCAAACAAGAATTGAAAGACTCTTGGCTGGCTACAAAAAGCGTTTACAAGCTGTGATACTTGCCAAAGGGGGCAGTACAAGGTATTAACTCTGCAGGGTGCCCAAACTTTTGCAGACGCCATTTTTTTTTTGTTTTCTGTTATTTTGAAAGTGTAAATGATGGAAATAAAATCTAACTTTTGTTGACATATTATAAGAATGTCTAATCTGTAATTTGATGCCTTTTGGAGATTTTTCCACCTTTCCTTGGCTTCTTTATGCACATTAATACAAATTTTTAGCTGGGGTGCCCAAACTTACGATCCCCACTGTATATATACACACCCTGTTCCAAATCATTATGCAAAATTCTATTTAAGTGTCACAAAGATTAAATGTTTTTTTTTTTTTCAGTTTAACTCATGGATGGCATTGTGTCTCAGGGCTCTTTTGATGACTGAAAACAATCTCGGACACCTGTAATAATTAGATTGGCAGGTGAGCCCAATTTAAGGAAAAACTACTAAAGGACAGTGTTCCCCATTATTAAGCAGAGCACCATTTTCAAGCAATATGGGGAAAAAAAAGGATCTCTCTGCTGCCGAAAAGAGTGAAATAGTTCAATGCCTTCGACGAGGTATGTAAACATTAGATATTTTGCGAAAACATAAGCGTGATCATCACACTATTAAGAGATTTGTGGCCGATTCAGAGCACAGACGGGTTCGTACAGATAAAGGCACATTGAGGAAGATTTCTGCCAGATCCATGTATCAGATCAAGAGAGCAGCTGCTAAAATACCATTACATAGCAGCAAACAGATATTTGAAGCTGCTGGTGCCTCTGGAGTCCCACGGACACCAAGGTGTAGAGTCCTCCAGAGTCTTGCAACTGTGCATAAACCTTCTATTCGGCCACCACTAAACAATGCTCACAAGCAGAAACGGCTGCATTGGGCAGAAAAAATACATGAAGACTAATTTTCAAACAGTCCTGTTCACTGATGAGTGCCGTGCAACCCTGGATGGTCCAGATGGATGGAGTAGTGGATGTTTGGTGGACGGCCACCCTGTTCCAACAAGGCTGCGACGTCAGCAAGGTGGTGGTGGAGTCATGTTTTGGGCCGGAATCATGGGAACAGAGCTGGTCAGCCCCTTTAGGGTCCCCAAAGGTGTAAAGATGACCTCTGCAAAGTATGTGGAGTTTATGAATGACCACTTTCTTCCATGGTACAGAAGGAAGAACTATGCTTTCCGTAATAAAATCATCTTCATGCATGACAATGCACCATCTCATGCTGCAAAGAATACCTCTGCATCAATGGCTGCTATGGGGATAAAAGGAGAGAAAGTCATGGTGTGGCCTCCATCCTCCCCTGACCTCAATCCTATTGAGAACCTTTGGAGCATCCTCAACCAAAAGATCTATGAGGGTGGGAGGCAGTTTACATCCAAACAGCAGCTCTGGGAGGCTATTCTGACATCTTGCAAACAAGTTCAAGCAGCAACTGTCCAAAAACTCACAAGTTCAATGGATGCAAGACTTGTGAAGCTGCTATCAAATAAGGGTTCCTATGTTAAAATGTAACATGACCTGTTAAAATGTTTAAAAAGTTAAAATGTTGTTAAAAGTTTGATTGAAATAGCTTTTGATTTCAGTAAATATGCTGCAAACACAACAAATGACAATTTTCAGTTCTTTACAACCTATAAAGTGTTTTGAAACTTACTGTGCGTAATAATTTGGAACAGTGCATTGTAAGCTTATGTTAAAAAAAAAATACTGTTATCATTAGGAGGTTTGTTCAATAAAATTTAAATTGTACTCATAATAGCTGATAACATGAGAATTATGCTGACTGTTATTTACATCACTTATTTAGGTAAATGAGAAAACTATCATTTGCATAATAATTTGGAACAGGGTGTGTATATATATATATATATATATATATATATATATATATATATATATATATATATAATATATACACACATATATATATATATATATATATATATATATATATATATATATATATATATATAACATATACATATAAATACATACATATATATATATATATATATATATATATATATATATATATATATACAGTCAGGTCCATAAATATTGGGACATTGACACAATTCTAACATTTTTGGCTCTATACACCACCACAACGGATTTGAAATGAAACAAACAAGATGTGCTTTAACTGCAGACTGTCAGCTTTAATTTGAGGGTATTTTCATCCAAATCAGGTGAACGGTGTAGGAATTACAACAGTTTGCATATGTGCCTCCCACTTGTTAAGGGACCAAAAGTAATGGGACAATTGGCTTCTCCGCTGTTCCATGGCCAAGTGTGTGTTATTCCCTCATTATCCCAATTACAATGAGCAGATAAAAGGTCCAGAGTTAATTTCAAGTGTGCTATTTGCATTTGGAATCTGTTGCTGTCAACTCTCAAGATGAGATCCAAAGAGCTGTCACTATCCGTGAAGCAAGCCATCATTAGGCTGAAAAAAAAAAAAAACCCATCAGAGAGATAGCAAAAACATTAGGCGTGGCCAAAACAACTGTTTGGAACATTCTTAAAAAGAAGGAACGCACCGGTGAGCTCAGCAACACCAAAAGACCCGGAAGACCACGGAAAAAAACTGTGGTGGATGACCGAAGAATTCTTTCCCTGGTGAAGAAAATACCCTTCACAACAGTTGGCCAGATCAAGAACACTCTCCAGGAGGTAGGTGTATGTGTGTCAAAGTCAACCATCAAGAGAAGACTTCACCAGAGTGAATACAGAGGGTTCACCACAAGATGTAAACCACTGGTGAGCCTCAAAAACAGGAAGGCCAGATTAGAGTTTGCCAAACGACAGCAAACAAGCCTTCACAGTTCTGGAACAACATCCTATGGACAGATGAGACCAACATCAACTTGTACCAGAGTGATGGGAAGAGAAGAGTATGGAGAAGGAAAGGAACTGCTCATGATCCTAAGCAAACCACCTCATCAGTGAAGCATGGTGGTGGTAGTGTCATGGCGTGGGCATGTATGGCTGCCAATGGAACTGGTTCTCTTGTATTTATTGATGATGTGACTGCTGACAACAGCAGCAGGATGAATTCTGAAGTGTTTCGGGCAATATTATCTGCTCATATTCAGCCAAATGCTTCAGAACTCATTGGACGCCGCTCACAGTGCAGATGACAATGACCCAAAGCAACCAAAGAGTTTTTTTAAGGGAAAGAAGTGGAATGTTATGCAATGGCCAAGTCAATCACCTGACCTGAATCCGATTGAGCATGCATTTCACTTGCTGAAGACAAAACTGAAGGGAAAATGCCCCAAGAACAAGCAGGAACTGAAGACAGTTGCAGTAGAGGCCTGGCAGAGCATCACCAGGGATGAAACCCAGCGTCTGCTGATGTCTATGCGTTCCAGACTTCAGGCTGTAATTGACTGCAAAGGATCTGCAACCAAGTATTAAAAAGTGAAAGTTTGATTTGTGATTATTATTCTGTCCCATTACTTTTGGTCCCTTAACAAGTGGGAGGCACATATGAAAACTGTTGTAATTCCTACACCGTTCACCTGATTTGGATGTAAATACCCTCAAATTAAAGCTGACAGTCTGCAGTTAAAGCACATCTTGTTCGTTTCATTTCAAATCCATTGTGGTGGTGTATAGAGCCAAAAATGTTAGAATTGTGTCGATGTCCCAATATTTATGGACCTGACTGTATATACATACATACATATACACACACACATTTTATGTTTGGGGTTCTAAACAATTTTCTACTAAAAAAAAAAAAAAAAAAAAAAAAAGATTTTTACATATTTGTGAGAAGTGTCAGAATTGGCCTTGTGTTGAAATGGCTAAATGAGAAATCTAAAGCAAATATGAAACCCCCTGATAATGGCCATAGCACCAAGTACAGACCCAAGAGCTAAAAAGATTTCACCACTCAAGTGCCCAAGAGATTCCATTAGCTAGATTAAAGGATAAGTTCACCTTATTCATCTTATTTTGCAGAGAAGAAAAAAAAAAAAAAATGTGCATTTACTATTTTTTTGGGAGCCTGGGAAAAACTGCACCAGCGATCAGCAGATCGCTGGTGCTATGCAGGACTCCTGCAGACCTATCCGTGAACCTGTGTATTCGTACCTCGTACAGATTAGGAAGAATCAATGAACTACCAGTTCAATAGTGCCGTGGTAGTTCACTGAGAACTACAAGCTGACAGCCGCAAAAGGCCGTCAGAACTTGTAGTTTTCCCATTCACAGAATACTGTGAAATGTGTGATGAGGGTATAGCTCCTAACAGCCACATTTTAAAAAAAAATTGTGACAGCCAGTCACAGTTTTTTATTAGAATGTAAGAGTTAAAGCATGGATTCGCATTTTACCATACACAAAGCCAAAGTTTAAAAAAAAAATTAATAGAACAGACAACAGTGCTGAAAGCATTGCTATGTTCCACTAATATTGTATGTAACATGTAAGAAGATTTCAGTTGGATTATGTGAAGCTTTTATGTGCATCTGGGGATTTACTGATTATACCCAAGTAATGCAAATAGGTGAAACCAGGGAATGTAAAATATACACACACACAAAGCCACAGGGAGCTGAACACAGCTATTACAGATAGCAAACAGAAACTTACCAAAACTCCACCCTAGGGGAGGCTCAATCTTAAGAACAAAATCCCCCTGCAAGAATAAAAGATGAACCAACATACTGTAATGACAACTGTCCTGTAGTACGTAAGTGTATGAAGAACAATAATATGCAAATATTACTATGTATAAGTAAATAATCCAGTCATGCAATATGTTTTTTTTTTGTTGGCTTGATGTGACAGAGGATTTTCTTAATAGGCAGATATTCTCTAACTTAAAGTGGATCTAAATGCAACTTTTGTTTTTAAATAATAAACATGTTATACTTATCTGTTCTGTGCAATGGTTTTGCAAAGAGCAGCCCTGATCCTCCTCTGCCAGGATCCCCCGCCAGTGCTCTGGACTCCTCCCCTTGCCAAGTGCCCCCAGAACAAGGCGCTTGTTCTGGGGGCACTCCTGCATACTCACTCCCAAGCCGGCTGTGTGTCCCTATTGACACACAGCACATGGCACTGCCCTGCCCCCAGCTTTCTCCTCACTAGCTGTGATTGACAGCAAGGGCCAATAGCTCCCACTTCTGCCTCGCCATCCAATGAGGAGAGAGAGAGCTAAAAGAGCTGATGCTCTCGTGCACATGCAGGTTTTTTTTTTTACCTTAAAGTGATAGTAGGCCAACTTTTCTACACTGGTGAATAGTGTGGGTATGTCCCCCGCACCTGCACGTGGATAAATACCTGTTCTCCATGTTTTCTGGATAACCTCCTGGGCTCTCTACATCTTATCTGATTTGATCGCTCGCCAGTATACTGGAAATTTGGCCATCATGATGCAGATTATCTGTATGTATCGGGTTCTGTTATGCATTTTTTTTTGTAAAATAACAAACATGTTATACTTACCTACTGTGTGCAGTGGTTTTGCACCGAGCAGCCTGGATCCTCTTCCTTCTTGGGTCCCCAGCAGGTTCTCCTGCCCCCTACCACCTGTCGGGTGCTCCCACAGCAAGCAGTTTGCCATGGGGGCACCCGCTGCTCCATGTGTCCATTCACGCAGGGAGACGCAGCTTTGCCACTTCCCCTCTCTCTCACTGGCTGAGATTGAAAGCAGTGTGAGCCAATGGCAGAGACACGGGACAGCCGAGGCTGTCATTCACATCGCTGGATCGCGATGAGGCCCAAGTATTGAGGGGGCAGGGGGGAGCTGCACAAAGAAGGTTTTTTATCTTCATGCATAGAATGCATGAAGGTAAAAAACCTTCAGTTTTTACAACTTTAATCCTCTTGAAACATGCTGAGGAAAATGCTGAGGACTTGCTATTGCTATTTGTCTTTGAAACTGCTGAGAGTGAAAGCTCCAGGATTATTGTAATGCAAGAATACACAGAACATAACTGGATACTAACATTTATAGGTAAAGTTGATCCAGGGAATATCGGATTGCCTCTCGGGGGATCAGGAAGGAATTTTTTTCCCTTCAGGACAGGGGCGGACTGACAACTCATGGGGCCCTTGGGCAATAGGGGATCATGGGCCCCCTGTGTCCTTGCCCAAACTCAAAAAAAAAAGCCTATGAAAAAGGTACCAGGGGCATCTCATGGGGCCCCCTACTGACCCCGGGCCCTCGGGCAGTGCCCAAGTTTCCAAATGGTCAGTCCGCTCCTGCTTCAGGAGCAAATTGGATCATTATTTGCTGGGTTTTTTGCTTTCCTCTGGATCAACTGCAGGTATAGGATTATAACTTTTTTTTTTTTTTTAATGGTTGAACTGCATGGACTTTTGTCTTTTTTCAGCCAGACTAACTATGTAACTATTCACAAAAAAAAGGAATAGATTATTATTTACCAGCAAATTCTGCTCTTGTCATGAGCTTTTTTTATTTTGTATTGTTTTTAACAAAAATTTTATGTGTTAATAAAGAATGTCAGGGTGATATTTTTCCGTTATATTTTTATAAGCAGTGTTCTGTGAGTTACTGTTTGGGGCACCTTAAAAGTCGAGATATAGGGTTTTTTCCCCCCCATTTTTGCACTTTAATACATTCCCTGTATTAAGGTAAAAAAATGTCCAAGTAGTCCTCTCTCAATCCAGCACTGTGCCTCTCTGCACCGGCAATGGTCTGTGTTCCCCTTCTCACAATACATAGAAGCAGCAGCGAGATCCATTGGATCCTGCTTCTGTCAATTAATTCCTGTGAGGAGGGAGGGGCCAAGCCACTCTGTGTGTGTCTAGGTACTCTCACAGACTGGTTTTGGAGTGAGGCTGCAGGTGTGACTCCACAGCAAGCAGATTGCTATGTGGGCACACCCCTTGTCCTCTGCCCTGCTAACCCCCAGTCCTCTGCGTACAAACTGCTGACAACTGTACTCTGCCCTACAAACTACTGACCCCTATACTTGGCCCCAAAGACTAGTGACCCTTGTACAATGCCCTACATACTACTTAAACTGGCCGGATCTCAACCCAGTAAGTCTGGCCAGATCTCAAAGTAGGCAGTCAGGCTAGAATTGAGGCCTGAAACTAATCGGGTAAATCAGCATGCAGTACCAATTTTTCTGCCTTCATGATGGACTCATGGAATTAAGAATGAAAGTGAATGGCAAGTTTCTCACTGAAGCTAAATTTTAAGGTAGGTTAAGTTTATACTTACAGTGACATTTGTTTAATTATATTTTCTGCTTTTTCTTCATGCCTCAGCTAACTACTTCAAGGGAAAAAAAAAAAAGGTACTGTGTCCAGGTGATCTTTGATCTCTTCCATGTCATTCAGGTAGAACCCCATCTCTTGAAGGTTGTCCACCCCTGATATAAATGTACTGTAATACGCACTTCTGATCCCCAGAACCAATCACAAAAAGATTTCCAGATATGTTGGAAAATCTTCCTGGAGAAGAGGCAAGGTTGACTTTCCATTTCATGGTGGTTGGGTATAATTGTTTCCTTTAAAGGTGTCAATAGTGTGTTCCTTCTTAATTATCTTTGTTGTGTATTCATTTTTATTGTGTAAATAGATACCCTTTTATGCCATGATTTCTTTAGCTTTCTCTACTTACTCACCTTGTCATAAAGAGGAATCATGAAGTAACCATTATTTGGTGCACAGTCAGTCTGGTATTTCAATGTGCCTTGTTTGGTATATAGTTTAATCTAAAACAACAAACATGATTTACATAATTACAGTATTGCTAACTATATTTCACTTTAAAAACATGTTATATAACATACTACATACAAATATAAATGTTACATAACTTAAGAATACAAAATGTGTAAAGATGATGCTGCTAGTGGACAGTATCAGGTTCACGGAAGGAAGCAAACTAATCATTCCCATTTGTATTCACAAGCATTTGCTCCACCAGTTTAGTTGAGCTGAACCAATCACACCAGCAAATATTCTTCTTATATACCTGAAAGCAAAGCAGGTTCAAACACTTAGGATAACATTTGTAAAGCAGTCAATCTGACATTCAAACATTCACTGCAGGTGAATCTCCCAGGTATTTGTGTCTTAAGTGACTGACTGATTTACCATCAGTAAATGTTTGGTGAAAATAACATTGATTGCTTTACAAATATGCCCCTTAAAGTGGAGCTCCACCCAAAAGGGGAAGTTCCACTTTAAGCCTTTTTCCCCGCTCCCCATTAAGGATTGGCACATTTGGGGAGCAGGTACCTGAATTTGACAGGTACCCACTCCCACTTCCGCTGCGATCGCCTAGGCGATCGGAAGCGGAAGTTGTCCCCACCCCCCTTCCCTCCCCATAGTCTTCTGGGACACGGGACAGGTCCCAGAGGACTACAGGGCCAATCACAAAGTGCAGCACTTCTCCTGCATGCGCAGTGGGCACCCAGCTGTGAAGCTGCAAGCTGTCACAGCTGGGTGCTCACACTGAAGATGCCGGTGCCAGGGAGAGAAGACAGCCGGTGAAACCAGCGGTGGTGAGGACACCGCTGGACCAAGGGACAGGTATGTGGCTGTATTTTAAAAGTCAGCAACTACAGTGTTTGTAGCTGCCAACTTTTTTTTCAGGTGGAACGCCGCTTAAAAGAGTATATACAGCCAAAAGGGTTTTATTTGGCTAGAGTAGGGAAGGGTTAGAACCCCATGTTGAATTTTCCCTATCTGGGGCTTCATTAACCTCCCTAGCGGTCTGATTATGTCCATATTTCTGTGCTCAAAGCGGTACTTTTTTTTGCATGGAAAATATGTTTGTTTTTTTTTTTATTGTAGGCCTGTAATTTTTAGGAATAACTCACTGAAATCTGTCCGAACAAGTCTAGTAAACATCCCGGGTATGTTATAATTTATGATCTTGGGTTTCAAATTTAAATTTATTAAATAATCATAAAAAATATAATAATAAATTTATTTCAATAATATAATCAAACCAAAAACACTGAAATGTGAAATATAGCGCCAAGTTCGCACATCACTGAGCAAAGTCGCAAAATCGTTTTCAGTGTCTGATGATGAATTTCCCCATGAATCATTATCACTCAATGCTGCAAGTAGTTCTAATTTCCCATCGCTGTTCTCTAGGTGGTCTAAAACCGCTTTTAACGCAAAGGGACGCTTTTTGGACGCCATGGACATTTCTCAGTTTCCAGGCAGAAAGAACGGTAAAAATGCAGGCAGGGCACAGGACAAAACACTAGGGACAAAATGTATGTGAAATGGTTTGATACAGTAATGTTTTACTATGTTATTTTAGTGTACTGAGTGAACGTCACAATATGTAATTTTAAAATTTCCCGCCGTTCCGTCCCCCGTATGTCCCAACGCTCGCAGGGAACGGAACCCAGATGACAGATGCTGGCATCCGGCGGAGTACATTACAGGGGACACTGCAGGAGGGACATCGCGGGAGCGCAGGACAAGGTAAGTGACTGAGGGATCCCGGAGCAGCGCCGCATGGTAAGCCCGAGTGTAGCTCGGGTTACCGCTTTTGGTACCTGAAACTTTACCCCGAGCTACACTAGGGAATACCACCAGGGGGGTTAAAGAGCTTTCACCTACTGTAATGGTGATAATTTTACAAGCCTGAGGGGGAGAGGTATGCAAACCATAAGAAGCTTGGGAGGGTTTCATTCCCTTTTTTAACCACAAAAACTATTTGTATTTCTGTTTCCCTGTTGCAGATTTTCCTTCACGTACTGTTTAATAGAAATGGTGTCAGTGGGACAGTAGGTAAGAGAAAATCTCTGACACCAGACAGCATTACAAACTCAGCAGGAGAAATAGGGAAGGGTAAAACAAAGTCAAGCTTTTTTTTTTTTCACTGTCTGTATCCTTTTATGTCTCCAAACTAGATAGTGAAGCTTAATTTCTCAAAGCGAGTCCTTTCTATCTCTTCTGGTTTTGCACAGAGCAGCCCCAATTCTCCTTTTCTCAGGTCCCACACTGACGCTCCTGGTCCCTCCTGTCTGCCGCGTGCCCCCACAGCAAGCAGCTTCCTATGGGGGCATTCATGCATGCTCCCTCCTGAGCCTCACACTATGTATCCATTGACACAGAGTATGGCAGCCTCGTCCCCTCCTCACTGGCTGTGATTGACAGCTGCAGAAGCCAATGGCTCCCGCTGCTATCTCTGAGCCAATGAGGAGGGAGAGAGCAGCTGCTCTCATGCTCAGCGATGGATTGAGATCTGGCACAGGTAAGTATAAGGGGGAGCTGAGAGAGAGCTGCATGCAGAAGGTTTTTACCTTAAAGTGATAATAAAGGCAACTTATGTATTTAAAAATAACAAACATGTCATGCTTACCTGCTCTGTGCAGTGGTTTTGTACAGAACAATCCTCCTCTTCTCAGGTCCCCTGCCGGTGCTTCTGGCCCCTCCCTCTTGCTGAGTGCCCCCAGAGCAAGCAGCTTGCTTTGGGGGTAACCAAACAAGCTCACTCCCGAGCAACTGTTCTGCATTTTCATTCACATAGAGCGCACAGCTCGGCCTGTCCTCGCTATCGCCTCATTGGCTTACTGGCTGTGATGGACAGTAGCAGGAGCCAATGGCTCCTGCTGCTGTGTCAACCAATGAGGATGGAGAGTCCCGGGACAGCCACTGCTCTTGTGCACATTGCTGGATCCAGAAGAAGCTTACGTAAGCATTAGGGGGGTGCTGCTGCATACAGGTTTTTTACCTTCATGCACAGAATGCATGAAGGTAAAAAAACCCTAAGCCTTTACAACCACTTTCATGCACACCTTGAAACATGCTTCACCCTGTAAACAAAAATGTCAAAGTCAGCAGCTACAGATACTGTAGCTGCGAACTTAAAAAAACAAAAAACACACACACACTTACCTGTCCCAGGATCCAGCAAGGTCCTCACCCCTCCCGGCTCTTTGCCAGGTCCAGAAACCGGTATCTGATCTGTGGGCAGCCAACTGACTTCTTGCGGATTCACAGCCGCACACGTAGGAGCCACGCTGCGCCCTGTGAAAGGTCCCACAGTCTCCTTGGACCTGTGACATGTCCCAAAAGGCTATGGGGGAATAAGGGGGGGGGGGGGGTTCGAGCTCCTGTCCTGATCGTCTAGGCCCTAAGCAGTTAAGAGTGCAAGTGGGAGGAGGTACTTGTCAAAATCAGGTACCCCACCCCCCAAAAAAATTCCAAATATGGGAGAGGAGGAAGAAAACCAAAACTTCCCCTTTTGGGTAATGTAAAAAAGCCTCAAGAAGCACCTTCACTCCGACTTCCTGGGTTTAGTTTTCCCTGATGTATGGAATATAAAAGTTCTAATTCTTATTATTCTCCTAGATTGTAAGATCGAAAGAGCAGGGCCCTCAATCCCCTCATGTTTTGCATTGTATTGGTATTGTTCTGTCACATGTTCTGTCCCCCTTTGTAATGTACAGCGCTGAGCGAACTATTGACTCTTTATAAATACTGTATAATAATGCCAGAGATGATCTCCCTGCCCTAACCTGTACAAATGAAGAAATCACTGTCCCTTCCATAGTAAAATGAAAAGCTGGCAGTGTTCTCCTTCTCAGCCTGTGACATCTCTCTGGGAATTGGGAGCTGTGGAAAAGTAACATTATGACCGATGTATTCCCCAACAAGGAGCCCCCAGCTGTCTGGAGTCCTGCAGGGTGACCTGGGGTCAAAGGTCATCAGCATGGAATGAATGGAGGCTGAGGCCTGGCCAGAGGAAGAGGTGTCAGCACAGAGGAGTCGGGTGACACCGTGACTCCCTTCTATCCCCGGTGCTATAATGTGTTCCGAGGTTACAGATGACTCGGTCATAGGTCGCACCCACCTCAATCAGCGAGTAGTTTATATCCACGTCCGATTTGACGAACCCCCCGCACCCCACCACGATGTCATCCGCCGCCTGCCCACGGCCCCAGCACAGAACACACAGCACCGTCCACAACACCAGGGCGCCCATTCTTTCCGTCCTGACAGGTGTCTCCCTTCTCCGGGCCCCGCTCAGCACGCCGCTTCGAGCTTTCCGCTGACACAACTTAACTGTGTCAGTCTCAGGCCGACAGGACTTCCTAGCGCAGGCGCACTACTCCCCGGTTTAGCCAGGGAGAGAGAGCTTCAGCTTGTCTCCATGACCACGACACTGAAGAGAGAATCGCGCTGTGCTTTGCTGCCACCTAGTGAGCAGGAGGACTAACTGAGCATTGGTCAGGTCTCGGCCATGTGTTCTAATGTGCAGAAATTTCTGGGGAGGCAATCACAGTTCAAATGATATTAAAGCAGTACAAAACCCAAAAGCAAACATTTATTTATATTGCAGCCTATCAATTCTTAGACGTGATGGTTGTATTAGTCTCATTTTTAGGATTTCTTTATTTTTTTTCACCAGGTGATTCAGCCAGCATTTCTGTTGTTTTTCAGGGACACAAGCTCTCCAGCAGCATGTATCAGTTTTCAGGTTTTATTTACCACTGGCAGATGTGATTAAAGCGATACTAAAGATTTGCTTTTTTTCTTTGACACGAGATAACGGCCTTAATTTGGACATGGGGTTCCTCAATCATTATCCAACATTTTATGACTCCCTCTGTGAGTGTTGTTCTCCCCCCCCAGTCTTTGCTTTTGCTTTGCTGTGTCTTATCTCTAGGCTAACCCTAGGCTTGTGTTTCTTTCTGCTTTTTTTTTTTTCCTCATCCCCCACATCTCTTCTAATATCCTGCTAAAACTTTGTAATATTACTGCTTGGACCTTGAAGAAGGGGACATACCCCGAAAGCTTGTCCTCAAAATTGTATCTTAGCGCAAATAAAAAAAGTATCACGTCAGTACTCAATTGTTTCTCTTTTTCTTTGGAAATCTACAAACATGTCTATACTTACCTGCCGGAGCTCCTGGCTCCTCCTTTCTCTTGGGTGCCCCACATAGCCACATTCACACATGGAGCCACGGCTTGGCCCCGCCCCCTCTCCCTCTCCGCATTGGCTGACTGGATGTGATTTACATCAGTGCAAGCTTGCTGTCTCAGCCAATGAGGCAGAGACCTGGGACAGCCAAGGCTGTTGTGCACATTGATGGATCGCGTTGGGGTTCAGGGCTGGGGGCACTGCTGCTCACAGGTTTTCTACCTACATTCATAGAATGCATGAAGGTAAAACTCTTGAGCCTTTACAACTGCTTTAAACTGATCAGCTTTTATTTATTCATGTAAAACCTTTTTTCTAAAAGGGAAAAAACTGCTGTAATTGATTATAACATGTGAGCTGGGGTTTGGCTTCGGTTTGTTAGTGTATCTAAATCTGTTAATTAATTTAACACTCTGCTCCCCACAGACTGACAACACGGCTGTGCCTACTGTGTTCATTTCTCCAGAGTAGTGTCTTACTAATACAAGAGGTGGGTTACTGGCCAGATGATCACGTGTAAACAGAGGGAAAAAAAGCCCAAAAAAAAGAAAACTAATGCCGCCACTTTATCTAATGATTGGTAAGATGCAACATAATACATTTTTGGTTTGGGGTTTATTTAACACTTTAAACCCTTGGTTTTTAAGCACTTTCACCAGCTATTTTAATCACTTAGCCCAGGTTTACATGTGTGTGGGCCAGTTCTGACAGCGAGATTTCAGCCCCCTCCAGTGCAACTTTGTTCAGCGGTTCTGGTGCAATTCAGGTGCGAATTGTCAAAGTGTATGACATTGAAAATCACACATGTACCAGACTCAAAATCATAATAGGCTCTTTCTGAAAATCCACTGCGGCCATCCAGCACATATGTGAAATGGCTCCTATGAAAAGGCTGCAGGTTCACATGCCAAAACACATCCAATTTGTATATACTGTATGTGAACCAAGGCTTACCGAGTTCATCTTTTGCCCTTGTTCCTGTTTAAGCTGGGCCGTGACCAGTGCCCCAGGTTTCCTGTATCATCATGGATCTTTTCCCACCTAGAAACCTCTGGAGTCGCCCTAGCATGTATGGACAAGCATTGTGTCTCCCTACACTGTGTGCATCAATAGAAACACACAGCCCTGTAGCCTATTTATTTATTTATTTATTTATTTATTTATCGTGTTTATATAGCGCCAAAGGGTTTGCTCAGCGCTGTACAATAGGGGGGGACAATACATGAAACAGAACAGTAACATCAAACAGTACACAAGGGGTTAGAGGGCCCTACTCTTTCGAGCTTACAATCTAGGAGGGAGGGGGTAGAGGCACCGGAGGAAGCGGCTGTGGGGGATGAAGTGGTAGGAGGAGGGAAGGGCAGCGGCTGTTAGGTGAGGGTGGGGTAGGCTTCCCTGAAGAGGTGGGTTTTTCAGGGAGCGCCTGAAGGTGAGGAGGGACGGTGACAGTCTGATGGATTGGGGTAGTGAGTTCCAGAGGATGGGGGAGGACCTGGAGAAGTCTTGCAGTCGTCGTTGCGTGGGAGGAGGAGACCAGGGAGCAAGATAGAAGAAGGTCCTGTGAAGAGCGAAGGGTAACGGGTAGGGTGGTACCTGGGGATCAGATCGGTGAGGTAGTTAGGGGCAGTGTTGTGAATGGCCTTATAGGTCAGGGTGAGCAATTTGAATTTAATGCGTTGGGCAATGGGAGCCAGTGGAGGGAGAGGCAGAGGGGGGTGGCAGAGGTGGAGCGGCTGTGAGGTGGATGAGTCTGGCCGCTGAGTTCAGGATGGTCTGAAGCGGGGAGAGCCTGCACTGGGGTAGGCCGGTGAGGAGGGAGTTGCAGTAGTCCAGGCGTGAGATAATCAGGGAGTGTACTAGTAGTTTAGTGGTGTCTGGGGTAAGGAAGGAACGTATCCTGGCGATGTTCCGGAGGTGGAGCCTGCATGTGTTTGTGAGAGATTTGATATGAGGTTGAAAGGAAAGGTTTGAGTCCAGAATGACGCCAAGGACCTTGGCTTGCTGGGCGGGATTGATGGTGGTGTTGTTGGTAGTGATGGAAAGGATGGGGGGGGGGGCGGCGCGGGCTGGGGGGAAGATGAGAAGCTCGGTTTTGAGAGGTTGAGTTTGAGGAAATTGAGCGACATCCAGTCAGAGATGTCGTTTAGGAGGTGAGTGATGCGGGCGGAGAATGAGGGGGTGAGGTGAGGGGTGGATAGGTAGATTTGAGTATCATCAGCATAGAGGTGGTAATTGAAGCCGTGGGAGTGTATGAGTTTGCCAAGGGAGGAGGTGTAGATGGAGAAGAGAAAAGGGGTCCAAGGACAGAGCCCTGGGGGACCCCAACAGAGAGGGGGAGAGAAGGGGAGGTGGCACCATTGTAGGTGACACTGAAGGAGCGTTGGGATAGATAGGACGAGAACCAGGAGAGAGCGGTGTCTCTGATGCCAAGGGAGAGTAGTTTATTAAGGGAGGGAGGGGGTGGTCGACTGTGTCAAAGGCCGCAGAGAGGTCTAGGAGGAGGAGGACAGAGTAGTCGCCTTTGGCTTTGGCGGTTAGTAGATCGTTGGTGATTTTGAGGAGGGCAGTTTCGGTGGAGTGTAGGGGACGGAAGCCGGACTGTAGTGGGTCAAAGAGGTTGTTGTCATCTAGGTGGGCACTTAGGCGATCGAAGACCAAGCGCTCAAGGAGCTTGGAAGTGAGTGGCAGCAGGGAAATTGGTCTGAGGTTGTTGAGGTCAGTGGGGTCCAGAGAGGGCTTTTTGAGTATGGGGGTGATGTGCGCATGTTTTAGGGGGGAGAGGAATACGCCAGTAGAGAGGGAGAGATTAAAGATGTGGGTAAGGGAGCGGATGAGGGAAGAGGGGGGTGACCGGAGGAGTTGAGAGGGGATAGGGTCCAGGGGGGCAGGTAGTGAGACGGGCTTCTGAGAAGACTCTGCTGACTTCCTCAGTGGTAGTAGGGCTGAAGGAGTGCAGTGATGGGGGGGTTACGGTAGGCAGGGCCTTGGGTGTGGTGGGGGGCAGTGCCGTTGCGAGGTCAGAGGAGGGGAGAGATGAGGGGGTGATAGAAGGGGGGAGGCTAGATGGGGAGGTAGATTGCAAGTTGACTATGTCCTTGCGGATAGCGTCAATCTTGCTGTGGAGGTGAGTGGCAATCTCGTGGGCGGTAAGTGAGGTACAGAGTGGAGGAAGGGGGGAGAGAGCAGGGAGTTGAAGGTGGAGAAGAGTCGGCGAGGGCAGGTGGAGAGGGTGTTAATCAGGTTAACAAAGTAGGCCTGCTTGGCGGCGTGGAGGGAGGAGGTGTAGGTGAGGAAGGCAGATTTGTAGAGGGAGAATGTATGAGGGGACCTGGTTTTGCGCCATAGTCTCTCCAGCGCACGACTGCGGCGTTTGAGGCATTTAGTGTGGTCGTTCTGCCAGGGTTGGAGTGGTCTGGGTTTGATGTTGCGTGTGGTTAGGGGTGCCAGAGAGTCTAGTGTAGCTGATAGTGAGTCGTTGTACGTGGAGGTGGCTAGGTCAGGACATGACAGTGGAAGGATGCTGTCGTGTAGGCGGTCGGCAGCCGAGTGGAGGGGGGCCGGGTGAGCAAGGCACTTCCTTGCTCTTCCATTCCCCCCCTCCCCCCACTGCTCTAAGTTAACAGACAGATCACAGACTGCACTGTCCACTGTTAACTCTTTCCTAAGAGGAGCGGAAGTTCAGGGAAGCAGCACTGAGAAAACAGGAGCCAGCAGCACTGAAACAACAAGAACTTGGCAAACAGTTTACTGGAAGATGTTTCTGTTATTGTGCTCAATGTATTAGGGAAAAAAATGCTAATGGTTAAGGCTAGGTTCACATCTCTGCATGTATAAAATCACACCCTTTCCGACATGCAGAGAAAACATACTGCACTGTAGTAGACACACAGGGGTGCTAATAATTTTTAATGGCACCCCACACTTTAGCATCAGTGGCACATTTTCATGCACACCAAACCCAATGTTGCAGAAGCACCATGCAGTTAAGTGCAGCGTGATTTCACAAAAGGGTCATGTTCTTCTTTCCCCACATTTTTCCTGGGTAGGACAGCACATTGAAA